TAGACTTGATCAAAACCGTCCAATGGCTTCTTCTCCCGAAATGGAGACGAAGCGCATCATTCCCTTCAAATAGAATCTTCATGAAGGATTCTTCCTGACTGAGCGGCGGTTTTCCTTGTGCCTGCAGCGATACTGCTATGAAAGATCAGCTGAACCAGAACACTGAATCGCTATAAGACGGCGTCATTTCGAAGTGTCTGTGTAAGGAAGTATTAGTGATCTACCCAAAGTTCCACTGCTGCATGTAGACTCAAATTTTTAGAGTCTTTCTGAAGTTTTGGGAATAAGACACACTATTCTGAGAAAGCTTCGTGCTCGTCGTTTCCATTTTTCATCTCGAAAAGAACAGTCAAGATTAGTGCAAACGATGGGGCGTCTGTCGGGAGTCATACTGGGGAGCTGCCAAGGCGGAAATTTTCACCAATGATTTTATTCTGATTCCATATATATTGGCAAGAAAGCCTGGCACTATTTTACCCCCCCCTTCCTTTACTGCCCCAACAATCCCGAATTGAGCCAGTTTCTGACCGACTTTTTCTCCGTGGACAGATTTGGCTCAAATGTTGTCTCCTGGGGTATTTTGACCTCCTGAATACGAATATGACATTCGCTTAGCCCGAAACCTCCTGGCGCCCGCGCCACAGGCGCCGGTGATCTGAGGTATTTTGGCGCCAGCACCTGTAGCGCGGGCGGCAGGAGGTTTTGCGCCGAGCGGATGTGATCAGGGGGTCAAACCACCCCTGGGAGCAAGTTTTCAGCGAATTTGGTGATTTCGACTATTTTGGCGCCGGCGCCCGTGGCGCGGGCGCCAGGTTTCGGGTTGAAGCGGATGCGATATTCGTGTTCAGCGGGTCGAACTACCCCTGGAGCCAAGTTTTCAGCAAATTCTGCCCACGGAGAAAAAAGTCGGTCAGGAACTGGCCTGATTTCGGATGACTGGGGCAGTAAAGGGTAAATAGTGCCGAAAGTCTGTAAAAGCTGCGCCCCTACTCTCACCCCTTGGCACGCTTTATCGTTTGCGGAGATCATGAATATACAATATACTGCTACCAGTGCTCGAGATGTCCAACATGTTGGCTTGAACAAGGCTATCGAAAGAGTTTCCATTATTGAACTATGCTGTTGGCATCGCATCTCAGTCTAATCATGGCGATTTTCCATGTGGCGCAATGCGGTTGGGATAGTTTTTTATTAGTTACTATGCAAAGAGAAAATGGAGAGAGTTTCCGCGTAGATTAGCCTCGTTTTGGGATGCGCCACGCATTTTATTTCCATTTAAAATTAAGTTGGCCCATTGAGTGCGATATGGCTTACGATTGCGATACGTAGCTACTATACAATATTTCAGATTATCCAAACATTACCTTCTTTTCAGTATTAAGGAAATGCCTGCTCAAACGTTATCAGTGAAGATTGTTTTCGTATAAGAATTAATCGTATTTCCTCCTCTTTGCTTACTATGCGAAGTTACTTAGGATAAACTACCGTGGGCGCGTGCGCTGTGAGAGGTGATTATCCGCCGTTAAGCATAATCATAGCGTAGATCTCCTGGTAGCACTCAAGACGATGAATCCTGCGTATGTCATATACTCCCTGCCCATTACGCTACACTGCCCGCTAGAAGATTTTTGCAGTATTTCCTTGCCTCGTTTTCCTCGTACAGCGCTTACAAAACGTGCAAATCAAAACTTATGCATGATTACTGCATCCGTTTGTGAAAAGTCATATCAATTTGAACTCATCGGAACCCTTCTCACAGGTTGGAAATCGTGCACTCATTGTGTACTGCATTACTGTCTCGCAGCTCATTACACTCTCGTTTCCCTCATTCACTCGTTCTTTCTCACTGTACTCAAGGCTGCTGAACATATCGAACTTCCTCATCAAGAAGCGCACATTAGTCGAAACAGGCCTTCTTTTGCGGTACCTTTTGTTCGCCAGACATTATTAGAATGCTTGTGGCTGAAGCAAAT